GATGTAAGGTGAAATCTCAGGGTCATTTTGATTTGCATTTCCCTGATAGCTAAGGATGTTGAGCATTTCCTTAAGTGTTTCTCTGCCATTCAATATTCCTCTATTGAGAATTCTCTGTTTAGCTCTGTACCTCATTCTTTAATTGGATTACTTGATTTGTTGCTTTTTAACCTCTTGAGTTCTTTATATATTCTGGATATTAATCCTCTGACAGATATAGGGTTGTTGAAGATCCTTTCCCAGTCTGTAGCCTGTCATTTTATTCTGATTACAGTGTCCTTTGCTTTACAGAAGTTTTCAGTTTCATGAGTTCCCATTTATTGATTGCTGATCTTAGGGCTTGTATTGTTGGTATTCTGTTCAGGAAGTTGTCTCCTGTGCCAAGTAGACTCTTCCCCACTTTTTCTTCTAACAGATTTAGTGTGTCTTCTTTTATGTTGGGGTCTTTGATCCACTTGGACCCTGGGTAAGATGATCAATCTTCATTCAGAAAAACAAACAGGATAGGCATCGGAAGAGAGAAAAAACAGGGAACAGGACAGGAGCCTACCACAGAGAGCCTCTGAAAGACTCTACCTAGCAGGGTATCAAAGCAGATTCTGAGATGCATAGCCGAATTTTGGGCAGAGTGCTAGGAATCTTATGAAAGAAGGGGGAGACAGAAAGATCTGGTGGGGACAGGAGCTACATAAGGAGAGCAACTGAACCAAAAAATCTGGGCACAGGGGTCTTTTCTGAGACTGATACTCCAACCAAGGACCATACATGAAGATAACCTAGAACCCTTGCACAGATGTAGCCCATGGCACTTCAGTATCCAATTGGATTCCCTAGTAATGGGAACAGGGACTGTCTCTTACATGAACTCAGTGGCTGGCTCTTAGATCACCTCCCTCTGAAGGATGAACAGCCTTACCAGGCCACAGAGGAAGACAATGCAGCCAGTTCTGATGAGACCTGATAGGCTAGGGTCAGAGGGAAGGAGAGGAGGATGTCTCTTATCAGTGGACTTGGGGAGGGCCATGGGAGGAGATGAGGAAGGGAGGGTGGGATTGGGAAGGAATGAGGAAAGGGGCTACAGCTGTGAATAAGCTGTAATTAATAAAAAATTAATTAATTTAAAAAAGAAGATAGAATGATGGAAAATATTTCTTCACCAAATATCAGCATGCTCAGTTTCATAAACAAAACACTACTGGGCACAAAAGAGCAGATAGGCACCAATATATTCAGTACATCACTCTCCATAATATATTGATCATGCATGTAAAATATCAACAAGGAAACTTCAGAGTTAAAGTGTACCACAGATAAAATGGACTTAATAGGCATCCACCAAGGATCATATGTATCAGTTACTACAGAATGAATGAACTTCTCAGTAACCCAAGAAACTTCCTCCAAAATAGGTTATGTCCTGGCCATACAGCAAATCTTGACAAATACAAATAGATAAATAGATAAATAAATATTTCTTTGATATTATCAGACCATGATAAAATAAAACTAGACATCAATAACAAAAGAAGCAATATAGACACAAGGAAATTAAACAATATATTTTTGCTTATTTGTTTGTTTGTTTTTTTGAGACAGGGTTTTCTCCTTGTAGACTTGGCTGTCCTAGAACTCACTCTTTAGACCAGGTAGACCTCAAACTCACAGAGATCCGCTTGCCTTTGCCTCCATGAGTGCTGGGATTAAAGGCATTTGCCTCCACCAACCAGTTAAACAATACATTCTCGAGCTCACCACTGACCCTAGATATGTTTCTTCTCCCAAGTGGCACACTTCCTCTTACAAGGCCATTCCTGCTAATATTCTTCTAAGTAGTCCATCAACCAGGAACAAGGCATTCAAGTATATAAATCCACTGGGTCATTCTTATTCAAACCACCATAGGCTCATGCTGCTGAGCCTGGTGGTGGCCTGAGTTCAACTTCTACATGGTAGGAGAGAACTGAACACAAATTTTCCACAGGTACACTGAGGCTCTCGCACACACACACACACACACACACACACCACATACACGCTGAATAAATAAATAAAACACAAAAAAACTGTTAAAAAAAAAAGAACTCAAAAAAGGCAAATGAATTGAACAAACAATTTTCAAAAGTACAAATGTCCAATATACTAGCCACTTGCCACAGACCGGCCCAGTTGGGCTCCCAGCGTCCTCGGGAGAACAAGGCTTCAGACAGGAAGACACGGTTTCGGCGATGAATTGACAGACAGAGACACCTTGATGGTTTTGGCTCTGCTGCACTTTACTGAAATCAAGCTAGTATTTTTATAATGATTTCACAAAAGTCACCTTAAAATTGGCATACTTCCCAGAACATTCAGACTTTTACCAAGAATACAAAGTTTACATTTTAACTCAAAATGTAGTCAAACATAAAGCAGTGCCCACAAGAAATCTTGGCCTAAAAACTTTTTGATCACAGCAAACAAAGAAAAAGAAACCTCAAATGTAGTTTCATTATTGCTAACCAGTGAAGAGGAAAGTCAGGAGCTAAGTCAGATGCCTGCCAAAATCTTTCTCTATATCAAAATCTAACTATACCTTTGTTAACCATCCTCCCATATGTCCTGCTTAAGATTTATAATCTTCCTTAGAAACAAGGCACTGAAGGGAGGGGAAACTCCTGCCAGCTGTACTTCCCATGCTACTTTTTCTTAAGAAGGAGCCTATTATTTTTTTTACTATTTTTATAATGCCTATTGATACTGAATCTGATTTATTACTTTTCTTAAGTTTATTCTTTTTACATTTTATTCTTATTAAAGCCTTTAATAATTTATTAATGATAAATTTCTTTATAAAGTTAGTTGTGCTGTTCTAGGAGTCATAAAGAAAGATCAAAAAACTCATTAATCCAGCCCCAGAACTGCAACTGAAAAAGCGTAGAAATCTCAGAACGAGTCTCTTTGCAGATGGGGGGGGGGTCTGCCAGGGACCTCCAGAGAGCATAATCCCGAAGAACACATATCGCTTAGTCTGAGTAGCCCTATCTATTGACATGCTACACCAGACGCTGGAGTGGGTGTGGCAGCCACTAAAATAGTTCATTAGGTAAAGGTTCTTACCGCACAGCCCTGCCAATCTAAGCTCAATCTCCAAAAGCTACACACAGGCAGGAGAGAACTGACTCCACAGTGTGGTCTCTGACATGTGCACCATAGCATGTATGTGCTCACATACCTATAGCATACTCACATACGCTACTAAATAAACAAAAATTCAAATGGCCAAAAATATGAAAAGTATTTGGCATCTTTAGCCATCAGGAGATCTTAAGTCAGAGTATATTAAGATTCCATCTTACCCCAGTTACAATGGCTGTCATCAAGAAATCAAACAACAAATGTGATGAGTTTATTGAGAAAAAAGAAACCCTTTCTTCTGTTGATATGAATGTAAATTAGTGCAGACATTATGGAAATCTGTATAGAGAGATACCTTAGAAAACTGAAAGTAAAGCTTCCATCTTCTCCAGCAGTAATATACCTTCAGGAATGCACTACACAGAAGTCTGACTAATTCTGCCTGTTGTGGTGACGCAGGCAGAGGCAGGCAGATCTCTGAGTTCAAGGCTAGTCTGGTCTACAGAGTAAGTTCTAGGACAGCTAGCGCGCTACACAGAGAAAGCCTCTCAAAAAAACAGACATACATACATAAGCTAAGTGTAATGATACATGCCTTCAAGCCCTGTACTGGAGAGGCAGGGCAGGAGGATCTCTGAGAGTTCAAGGCCATCCTGGCATGAGTTCCAGGAGATCAGGCAGAGCTACATAGAGAGACTTTCAAAAAGGAAAGAAGGAAGGAAATAAGGAAGAAAAGAAGGAAATACAGAGGAAAAAGAAACCTGCCCATTCATGTTGATTGAAACACTAGTCACAACAGCCAAAATATTGAATTAACCTAGATGTCCATGAATAGAAGTCCAAGGTCAAGGGTTCAGCAGGGTTTTTTATTTTGTTTTGTTTTGTTTTAGGCTTCCCGGGTTGGCAGACAGATGACTTATTTGTCACCTTTCAGTAGTACTTTTCTATGTCATCATTGTGCAGATTTTCTCTTACTAAATACATCAGTCAGATTGGATTAGGGTGTGTTCTGATGGCCTCATTTTAACCAGTATGCCTTTAAAACCCTTATCTCTAAATAGAGTCAAAGTTGTGAGATGTTAGGGATTAAGGGCTTCAGTTTATGGATTTTAGGAGATACAATTAGCCTATAACAGCTAGAGTTTTGGCTGCTTTTTGTGGGTGATTCTACAAGCTTGGTTTTCTGTGATCTTTGTGGGAGCAGATTAGATTTTATCTCCCTCCTCTTCCTTCTTCTCCTGTTTGTTTTGAAATAGGATCTCACTATGTTGCCCTGGCTCCAGGAAATTACTTTGTAGACAAGGCTAGTCTTGAAGTCACAGAGATCCTTTTGCCTCTAGCTCGTAAATGCTGGGTTAAAGGCGTTTTCTAATGCTATGGTCCTTAGTGTGTGTGTGTATAGGTGAAGAATAGTTTAGACGAGAAAGAGGTTCTCTCAGCCTGTGGGTTGCAAGCACTTTGACAAACCTCTATCTCCAAAAATATTTACATTAGGGTTTATAACAATAGCAATTATACTTTACAATTGTAAAGTAGCAATGAAAAAAAAATTATGGTTGGGGTTCACAGCGTGAGGAAAGTTGAGAACCACTGAATTAGATAGTCTAAGTTCATAGGAACGTGAAAGACGGTCGTCTGTTGTAACACATTATTAGACTTAATCCTTAATACAGATTAAAGTGGATCAATTTATTTACAGCCCGTAATTTCAATTCCCAGAACACCAATTTTAGAGCCAGAGAAAGGCGTGGCGAAACCCCGCCCCGAGCGGGAGACACAGTGGAGTGGGCGTGGTCTCAGGGATGGCTCTAAGGGATAGCCCCAGAGCCGTAAAGAACCCGAACAAGTCGTAAAGAGTCGCAGCACGGAAGAGTTGCTTTGCGGCTAGCCCCGCTTCCAGCGAGCGCACCTAGCTTGCGGCTTCTGGCTTGCACACGTGTAACGCTGTCGCTGATTCGTTTGTTGGCGTGGTAGTTAGCGCCACAGTGAAGAACGGAGAGGCAGCTTCGGCTAGGCTCGTGAGCTGATGGAGTTTGCAGCCGAGCTGGAAGGGACACCCGGCGGAGGTCCCCTGAGGGTAGCTGAGGGGGCGCGGCCGAGACCGGAGGTTGGTGGGGAGGGAGCCGGGTATCTAAATGGGAATCCCCCGGCTGGCGATGGAGAGGAGAGGAACGGACTGACAGGAAGTAAGACCACGGAGGATGCGGAGGAGATAAAGATGGACTTAGCTGTGGTGAAGCAGGAAGTAGTGGACTGGTCGGATATAGACAGTGGCTTTTCGGACAGCCACTGGGTAAAGCAGGAGGTGGAGGGCGGGCCCGAGGTGAAGGATGAGAAAGCTGGCGTGCTTGAGGAGGTGAAGCAGGAGGCGGTTAGTGGCCTGGTGGTGAAAGAAGAGATGGTGGATGAGCCAGAAATAAAGGAAGAGAAAGTGAAGGTGAAGGAGGAGGTAACGGACTGGGAAGAAGTGAAGGAGGAGTACCTGGACGTAAAACAGGAGTTGTTTGTTGATCAGAGCGTAAAGGAAGAGCAGGTGATGGATGGAGTGCATGTAAAAGAAGAGGATTGCCTCAAAAGAGAAGTGATGGAGGACTCGAAGGTGAAGGAAGAGCAGCAGAGCAATCCCCCAGTGGGCTGCAAGCGGAAATTGGCTATGTCAAGGTAGGACAGGGAGAAGATCCAAATGGGAAATCGAATGTTAGGGTGGGTGACCACTGCAGCCAGAAAGTGTGAGGTAGGTTATACCAGGCGTGAAATGGGTCCCTGAAGTCGGAATGGGTGTGTCAGGTTAGGTTGGAAAGGGTACTGTTAGATAACAAATTCAAGTTAGGTCAAGTTAGGGAGTGAAAACGATGGGGATCAGGAGACCTTTGTGGAACCAGATCTTGTTAACTGAGAAGCTCTTGCTCAAAATGTCTTTTCAAGAAAATAGGAATTGGGGGACATCTGGTAAAAACCAACAAAAGATCTTGTCCTACTTTGTTTTGCTGTTTTTAAACTATCCAGATGTAGCTCATGGATTATGCATCTAGACACCTAGAGTCTCCATGAATTACAAATTTAAAAATCACCAATTTGTGTTATTCTCGAATTACAGTAGAAAAAGAAGTAAAAAATGAGATGATTTATACATACTGTTTTCTTGAATTGCACTTTATTGTAAATGTCAGTTTTAAACATTTTCATAATTTTCAGTGACAGTTGTCAAATACTTTATCAGAGTTGCTGACCTATAATTTATTTGCTTTGACTGCCTGCCTATAAAGTCCCGGAGTCAGCATTCAAAGATTACAGGTATATAGGTAGAGTTAGTTTTGGAGTTTTAAGTCACAGGTGCACTTTTTCAGGTGTGAAACTTGTGGGACAGAAGAAGCAAAGTATAGATGTCCACGGTGCATGCGATATTCCTGCAGGTAGGAATGCGATGCCCTACCTTATTCCCTACCTCTCTGCACTTCTTACCCCAGATATAAAACTGCTTCCTGTTTGCTTCTTCAGTTTGCCCTGTGTAAAGAGACACAAAGCTGAGCTGACTTGTAATGGAGTCCGAGATAAAACAGCTTATGTTTCACTCCAAGAGTTTACTGAAATGACTCTCCTAAGTGGTAAGGCATTTTGGGTTCAACAGATGGATGCTTTCTGGTCACTGGCATATGTTACTTGTTAATTTTTTTTCATTCTGCAATTACAAGACTATAGATTTTTGGAAGATGTGGCAAGAACAGCAGACCAGGTTTCAAGAGATACTTTTTTGAAAACACCAAAACGCAAAAAATATGTAAGTATTTTTTCTGATCTTCTCAAGTTCAAGTCTCTTCTGATCATTTTACTCATTTCTCACACATTTCAAGTGGCCACTGTGATCTGAGGCTATTCTGGTTATTTGAGGTAGATCCAGAATACTTGCCCTGATGAGTTTGTGTTGTTGTGAGGAGATGGTTAAGTGGAAGAGTCAGGGTGTATAGAACAGCAGATAAAATTCCTGATAGATTTAAGAGTGTGTAGGAAATTAAGATGGGTCAAGAGAGTAAAGAGAACAGAATGGTGTTTGAGGGGCATGGACTCTTCAGAGTATGATTTTCAACACAGTGGTAGAGATGAGCTGTGAGGGAACAGGGGGCAGTTGAAGACACTTGGAAGAAGACTCTTCTGGTAGAAACATCAGCAAAAGTGGCACAGCCTGTGACTGGCACTCAGGGAGGAAGACATAGGAAGACCTCGGCTTAAGAATACAAAGATGCAAGTGGGAACAGGGTTTGTATGCTTGGTGGATTGTGAGGGGCAGGACAGCTGAGTGAGTGAAGACGGGTGCTGAACAGAGGTTAGGGAAACCTGGAGGAGTCTCCAAGCATTCTAAATAAGCATGAAACTAAGGGAGGCTAGATGCCGTGCCTATAATCAAGCACTGGAGAGACTGAGGCAGGTGACTCTCGTGAGTTCCAGGGCAGGCAGGGGTGCAACACCTTGTCTCAAAAAAAAAAAAAAGGGGAGAAGGTGAGCATGTTTGTGTTAGCCTAGAGACATCGCTCAGCAGTTAAGAGCATTTGATCTTGCAGGAGACCATGACCTAGACAGAGATGTACAGTGACTGCCCTGTGACTCCAGTTCCAAAGGCTGCAGTGCTCTCTTTTAGCCTCCAGTGGCACCAGGCACCCATCATACACATACCCACATGCAGGCAAACACACATAGACATAAAATCAAAATAAATGGATTTTGAAAGATTACTTTTACTGCTTGGTTGGTGTCAGGGAACAACAGTGGAAGATCAAAGCATGAAGAACAGTTGCAAGGGTATATGCCGCATGAGAGATGGTGGTGGCTGGGTATGCTGTGGGGAATAATTAAGAGAGTAGTGTGATTTCAGTTTGGACAACATAGTTAAGAGAACCCTGTGTCCTAACACTTAGTTTTCATATTCTTGCTTCCATTAAGCAGTAGGAAAATTAAAGCTTACACATGTGTAATATTTGGTTAACAGAAATTCATTAATACTGTAATTGAATCAGAAACTATATTAATGTAGAAGTTAAGCTTTTCAATAACTTTCACACACACTGTTGATAACGTTGATATTACACATACAGAAAGTTACTGTGTAGTCGCTCTTACTACTACTCAGGTTAAATTAAACATCACAAATTCTATTTTTCTTTTTATTGTAAAATACAGCATACATTAAAAAATCATAAGGTCGACATACAGTATAATGATTAATGATAGGCTGGAAATTGGTGTAGCTGACTGGGCCTAGGATAAAAGCATTCCTGCTTTACTGGAGTTCCTTGCCACCCTCTGATATGCCACACTGACCTACTTCCCTCTCCTGAAGGTTGTCTTAGAAACATACCTTGTTGTTCATAGACTTTGAATTTTCAGTAATAAACAACAACAAAAACCACAAACAAACAAACAAAAAATCCTGATTTTGAAACAATGCTTTTAGGAATCTTTTTTATTTTAAATTATGATTTGTCTATGCATTTGTTTTTCAAGGTTTGTATCTAAACACGAAATTGTTTTGTTGTGATGTGTTTGTGTCCTTAGTTTGAGTAAACGTTAGGAGAACTTATTGCCAGTTCAGCATGAAAACTGGTGTCTGAATTTGGTCTGGCCTTTAAAGGCTTTGTTTTGTTTTACAATCTGATTGCTATAAGATTGTATTTGGGCTTTAATTTTACAATTCACTTATTCCTTTTGAGAAGAAAGATCTTTTTATTGGACATTTGGATTTCTTCTTTTGTGAGTCCATGCCTAAGCCTTTTGCTCATATTTTTGTTGGCCAGCTTTCTTCATCATTACTAGTCAATGTGGACAGGCACATGCCATGGCATGTGTGTGGAGGTTAAAGGATAGCCTTTGGTGTTTCCCTCTTCCTTTACCTTGAAGAGACTGGATTTCTTCTGTCTCTAGCTCCCATCCCTCTGTGTGAGGCTGGGATAGCAGACTTTGCTATCACACTAGGCTTTTGGGGGCTCTGTGATTTAAGTTCAGCTCTTGATGCTTGTGCAGTAGGCTTACCCACTGAGGCATCCTCAGCCCTCGAGAGCTGTCTCTGCCTTAATTGTTTAGAAGAGTTCTTTGTGTTTTTTAAGGACTTGTCAACAATTGATTGAATGTTATGAACTATTTTGTATGGTTTATCTTTTCACTCTTCTGATGAACAAACGTCTTTAGTGTAAGTTTTATCTTTTGCTTGTTCCTTTATAGTTAGTAGTTTTCCAGATTCTTTCCTGTACATGGTCAGTAGAACTGCCATTTGGGTGGCCTGCTTTGAACCTAATAATTTCTACCTTGAAGTTGCAGAGATAATTGTTTTCTGAAAACCTTATAATATTACATTTCACATTTTTGTTTTTTCCTAGAATCGATTGTTAGTGCCACTGAAAGTGAATGTGCTGTTTAATTTTCCATATCAATAATCCCTCTTCATAGCACCATTTCCTGGAAAGGTCATCTCCCCTTCCTTCTCCCAAGGTCACCTTTATCACAAATCAGGCAGCCATAGAACAGAAGCTTAGGCCAGGCTCTGGCCTGTCCACTCCATCTTGTTGGTCCATTTATATGTCTTACATCTCTGCTACACTCAATATATGGCCTGTTTGCTTGGGAGAAATAGGGATTCATTGTAAACATTTGGCCTTATCACAGATTCAACCAGCCACAAATCTGAATGCTGGGATGAAAATTCCATGCATACCATACCAAGCAGCCACAAACCTTTTTCTTATTTGCTACCTTACCTTTTGACTAATGTCCACACAGTTTGGGGCATGAGGATTATTCCACAAAGAAAGAGAAGGTATGAATGTCATGTGCAAGTATTACAGTAGTGAGGTAAGCGACTTGAGCATCTGCAAAGACTGGTGTCCATCAGATTGTTGAGAGACAAGAGTGTGCTCTCTTAAAGTCAGCTTGTAAGTGTTACTTAAATCTTTTCTAGCTTTCCTCACAGTAAAAGGACTTTTGACCCCGTGGCTCAATTAGTTTTTGCTTGGTTACTTTAAGGCGTAAGTTGCTTCATGTATCAGGAATTAGTTCTTCTTTGAGTTTTTTACCTTCTCTTCTTCTTGGCCAGTGGTTCTCAACCTGTGGGTGGCACCCTCTTTGAGACCATTGGAAAACATACTTCCATTACAGTTCATAACAGTAGCAAAATTACAGTTATTGTGGGTCAGCACAGTATGAGGAGCTGTAGTAAAGGGTTGCAGCATTAGGAAGGTTGAGAAACGCTGCTCATAAGCTTTTGTCTCCTTTGCCCAATATCAATAAATGGTGTCTGTGTGCTTTGTTTTTCTTTTCCACTTTCCCTATTTTGTGTTTTCATAAGTCTTTTGTGTCATAATTGTGTTCTCTCTTGAGCAAGTATAATAATTTGAGAGTTTTTGTTTGTTTGCTAGCTCAAAGTGCTTTTAAGGCAGTTTTTAAATAATGTTTATTTTATATGTGTACTTCTCCCATTGCCTGGCTATATTTTCAGTGGGAGAATTCATCTTTATAGCTACTGCCATTGTTAAAACCAAAGTCAGCTGACTTACAATATTACCTGTCATTTTCTTTGTATTAGCTGGTGATTGCTAACCCTTTTCCATAGACTTATGACTTGATTGTTCAACCTTGCATTGCAAGTTTTAGATTCCTATCCATTTAACCAGAAAACTTCATTTCCCTTTCTTGGAGTGATTTTTTTTTTCTTTCTTTCTTAACTCAGTAGAAGGTTCAAGACTATCTCGTTACCTCCCTGAGTTTAATAACTAATTCAAGTGTTTTGTACCCTCTTTGTATGGTTTCATTTGATTATGAATTGTAAGACATTCTAAAGCTAACTTATGTTTGGCTTTCTTTTTAGCTGTTCTTTATGAAGAATCGTGCCCGAAAGCAAGGTATTTACTTAAAGCTTCTACCCAATGGATTCAGCAAGAGGAAAGAGAATTCAACAGTTTTTGACCATAGGTAGGCCTCTCACTGTTACTGTAGAGCTGTTATAATTTAATGATGAGCAAATTTTAAGGTTTGGTTTGCTTTAGAACATTGTTAACAAAAGTGTGATCCTTAAACTGTTAACCAGATGACAAGAAAGAGTGATAATTGCCCGTCCTGCAACTAGTAAAAATTTGGGTATGTGGTGTGTTACCCTGCTGTCCTTTGAGAAGCTTCTCAAATGTTGATGTACATAACAAACGAGTGAATATACTTGTAAGTTGGAGTTTAATAACATGTATTTCTGATAGTGCCTTATGACTGGGTTCGAATTTGATAGCGTGCATTTCTAATGGTGCCAACAATGCTCATGGCTAAGAATCCTGCTTTTGAGTAATAGTGTTTTGAAATATTCTCTGAAACCTAGAACATTATGGAAGTGTTTGGGAGCTTTAAATCTAAAAAAGGGTGATTAAAGCACAGAACAGTGTGTGCTCTCAACCCTCAGCTTTCTGATCTGGGAGGAGCTAGGTAAACTGTAGAGACCCTTTCAAATTTATTATTCCACAGTTGAAAAATTAGAATCATCAGAATTATCATCAATTTTATTTTAATAAAGCTTGCACTGTTTCAAAAGTTGTTATGTAATTACAGAATGTCAGTTTTCATATAATGTTTTACAACATAATGTTAGTGACATTGATTCTCCTTGTTCATGATTGATTTCCAAAGTAAAGTAATTACATATTTTTATCAAATATGAGATTTGTGTACTTAGAAACTGACACACTGAGAATTTGGCATACTTTGATAACTTTGGTTTGTGTCTTGTACTTAAGATGTGTGCTATGTTTTGAAGGAGCCATTTGGAACTGTCATCCCAGGTTCTTGTAGCCAAGAGTAACGTCTTTGTCTCTAGAGAAGATTGTTTTGTCTGTAACTGGGTTTAGTAACTTCATTTTAATTATAGACCACTCTAAGATGGCAATGCCATGAAATTACAGAGATGTGAGGCCAGTCCTGTATTTGTTGTGTTTTGTCTCCAGTAGTTAGAATAGAGTTTGATTGAAGTTGTTGACTTGTACTGAGGACATTTAAATATGCAGGCATCCTCGAATCATTACACCTTTTACTTCATGTATGTAACCATGGGAGAAATATGTTCCTGACTTCTGTTTTTCTCTGGAACCAGAATGTTCTGGCTTCAAATCCCATTTACAACTAGCTCTGCAACCTAAGTTTTTCTGTCTGCACCATTTTCCTCATGAGTGAGGGGAATAGTTTTAATGTGTCTACATGAGCATTATTATGTTCACTCAAAAAGACAATTGTGTCAGAGTCTCTTTTCTTTCTTTCTTCCAGATTTCTTTGGTGGGGACTGTAAAGAATGTGAGCCAGGTGTGGTGGTATACACTGTCATCCCAGCACTCAGGGGTCTAAAATAGGTCAACTGCAAGTCTCAGGCCACATTGGGCAGCATAGCAAGGCCTAGCCTCGGGAAAATCTTTAAATTCAGGCTTTTCTGGTAATAATAGCTTAATTTCTGTCTTCTTTTCTTTACTCTTTTGATCTGAGGCAGAGCCTTGGGCTGGCTGGGCTGCCTCAGACACACTGTGTGATGACCTCTGATTCCCTGGGAGTGCAGGTGTGTGCTGCTGCTGCATCGCTGTCTATAAGGAGGGCGGCAATGCCACCCCGAGTTTCCGCCACCTCCCTTGAGAGCAGCTGCTGCCTCCTGCCAAGTCAACCGCCTTAATTTTCATGCTTATAAATTAGTTTGTCCGCTGAATTTTCCTCAATACAGTTTAATTGCTCAATCACTCTCTTATGTGGGTTTCCATTGTTGTAGTAAAACACAACAAAAAGGGATTGTGTCTGCTTACACTGTGAAGGGAAGTCAGACAAAAAAAAAAAAAAAACAGTGGCAGGCACAGAAGCGAGAACACTGCGTACTGACTTGTTCCTCCTGACATGTGTACCTGTGTTTTAATCTGACTTTTTAGCATTTCAGGGTTAATGCAGATATCATTATCCTGGCCTCCGTGTTATTCAGCATTTTTAGCTAGAGCTCAAAAGCTGTTTGTATTTGGAGTTTACGTGCTGTGAAATGCAAAAATCTTAATTATACGTGTGAAGCCGGGGCAGTATACTGATCATCAGACCATGACTTTGCCATACCGTGCCGGTGCTGTGCCACTGAGCCGCATTCTTAGCCTAATTTGCTCTTGACAAGTACATAGACCTGTGTGACCTAATGCTTGTGAATACACAAATATAGTACGACTGTCATACCAGAATTTATTTCTGCACACCTTCCCTCTTCTTTCCCCTCCCCAAACTGATATAAGTTTTCCTTGTTCTCATTTGTGCTGGTGAGTAGAATTTTCTAGTTACTTGTTCACTAATCTCTTGATGTAACTTTGAGGTCCCCAGCTTATTGAGCCAACCTTGCCTAATATTACCCAGTGACATGGAAAAGAGGGCCTCTTGGTTATTCTGACTTGTTGCTGCATTCTAGTGGGAGACCTTTCAGATTGTCTTCTGTACCTTATTGCCCTAAGTATTTAATGTGAGCTCTGGACTCACTACAAAGGTACAGTCAAGTGTAGGAAAGAGGTGATAGGGGAGGCTTGTAAGTACTTGTATACCTAGCAGCTTTTCTAGGAATTTATCAGTAGTTTCTACAGATAGGAAAAGGAGGTAATTATCATGCCTTCCAAATTAAATGTACTCATATAGAATGATTGCCAAAAGTATTGCCTAAAGATAGATGTAAAGCTATGCTCATAGCAGACTATCCCATCTCTTTCTATCTGTAGGTTTGCATTCCAAGCCTCCCAGAAATGTGAATAATGCTAAACCCTGTATGTATAGTTTGTTTCTATACACATATTCCTGTGTTATCATTCAGTTTATAAATTAGGTACATTAAGAGATTAATAACAGCAGCAATAAAATAGAATAATTGTGGCAGTATACACTAGTGAAAGTTGTGTGAATGTGGTCTTCTCAGAACATCTTACTGTTCTGTTCTCATCATTGTCGTGGCATGAGATGATACAGTGCCTATGAGATGAGGAACAGTGAGGCTGAAAGCTTCCTGGTGTAATATATTGGCACCAGTCAGTGCACACTACACACTTCACTAAGGCTGCCTCTTCCATCTTAACTGAACACTTAGGTACTAAAGTCATCACTTGCAGTTTGAGGCACACTAGCAAACTCAGCACAGTTTGCCCTTACCCTAGACCTCAGGAACCTCAACATAGGACTTTTTGGCTTTTTCCCACTTAAATTGAAGGCTTTTGATGTTTTAGTTAAAGTATTTTATACCCCTTTTGTGGGGGGGTTGCATGTTTTTACATCGCCTTTATCGTTATACTTGGGAGACGTTGTTAAATATAAGCACTAAGTCAGCAGCCACACTGCAGCAGTCTTGAGACTAAATGGCAACTCCTGATGCACAGGCAGGTAGCACACACCGTGCAGATGTGGTAGACAGGATCATGTACATTGTCTGAAGGACAGAGAGTAGATTTCACCTCACTACTCAGAGCAGTGCAGTTTGGAACACAGATTGTTTGCTGGGGAGTTTTGTACTTGACTATACAGTTCACAGCTACCTGGGTAACGACAGCCACAGGAGTGAATCTGTCAGTAAGACGGGACTACGTAGTTTACATGGTAGCAACTTTGGGGAGTGCAGTCTTAGTCTCTTCTCTACTGTAACAGAATAGTCACTGGCTGGGTAATTTTTAAAAAGGTTGACTCAATCTTGTAGGGTCTTAGAAGTCTGCAATCATGGTACTGGATGGGCTTGGTGTCTTGCAGGGGCCTTCTTGCCTCTACAGCGTGCCAGAAGATAACAGAGTAGATGCGTGCTGGCCTTGCTCTCTCTTGCCATCATGGAGCTCCAGCCTCAGGTCTGGCCACATCCAATGCTTATCACTATCCAGAAGTAGGGCAGTAGGTATGAATATAATAATAAAGCTTCTGCTTTTTAAAGAGTTATGTTGACAGGTATATATGGTCCATTTATGTATTTGGGGCTGGAGATTTAATTTTTAAAAAGTATTCTGACACCGTCATGTGAAAAATGTGTTTTTATCCACAGTACCAGTCTTTTCATTGTGTTGGGTTTTGCTAGTGACTATGTGGATCTGACCTGTTGGTTGCTTAAAGTATGTAAATGGCTATGGCTCCTGTTCTGGTCAAACGGGAGATGTGGAAGTGCAGAGGGAAGGTGCTTGTCACCTGAGGCATGGCTTAGGCAGCAGTGCGCTCCCCAGCACATGCTGAGTGACTCTAGTTGATACTCGAAGTGTCTCAGATTTGAAAATTTTTAGGTTTTGTATTTGCATAAACTTCACCAGTACATCATCCTTGATCTGAAAATTCAAATCTGAAATGTACCAAATGGCTCAGAAAGTTTTTAATTGACAACATTTTATAATTTTGTTTTTATTTTTTTAGACATCAGATAATTTTACTTGTGAGCCAGTCTTTCAATGTCTTCATCATCTTGGGCAGCCTTAGGCCAGAGGCCTCTAACTGAGAGAAGAATCTAGGCATGCCAGCTGTAAAAGAGACATGGAAACGCTTTTCCCTTGCCCAGCTCTTACTAGGTAAAATTAATACCTAGTTACCAGTCAGTTCAAATAAGCTGTCTAATGTTAAAACCTTGGTGACCAGTAGAAAATTAAAGGAGAAAATACTGCCAAAAGTAGCATGTCAAGAGCAATGAAAATGACCAAAATGCCATAAGAACCAACATTGCAGCAATTCAGACACCATTTACTATAAAAGCAAAGAGCCCAAAACAATGACTGAAAATCCAAGGGCAGTTATTTTAACGCAACTTACTAGTTTGCCTTTACTTTTCTATACTTAGTCATTCAACTGAATTAGTATTTTGACTGGTACTAGCTAATAGGGCGATATGTGCTCCATACACCTTGAGAAATTACAGTAAAACGTAGTATGTACTATGGGCTGGAAAGATGACTCAGCAGTTAAGAAATACTTGCTTTTGC